TATCATTCCCTGGAAATGGAACTTCATTTGGAAACTCAAGTTGCCCCCCAAATTAGTGACTTTTCTCTGGACTATTGGTTATGGGAAAATGCTCACCAATGTGCAGAGAGCTAAAAAAGGTTTTACAAATGATCCGTGTTGTCCAATCTGCCCTACTGTTGAGGAATCAATGGATCATATTTTCAGGTATTGTAGGCATTCTCCTTCCCTTTGGAATAATGTTGGAATCCCATATGAAGTTGCCCATTCCTTTGCTCTTGATTTTCAGAGTTGGATGGCCATAAATCTTAGGACACATTGTTCTACCACTCATGGTTTACCCTGGAACCTCATCTTTGCTTCAACTTTGTGGTATTGCTGGAAAATGAGGAACATGTTTGTCTTCAATAATGGACAACAACCGCCTGTCCCACCCCTTAAGGTTATTTTTCAATTTGCAAGAGATTGGTATGATGCCAACAAGTGTTCTTCTAGTAAGCCTCCTAGACAAATCATCTCAATCCATTGGATCCGTCCGCCAATTGGTAGATATAAAATCAATACAGATGGGAGTTGTAAAGATCCATTTAGCCACATAAGTGCCGGAGGTTTGATTCGCAATTCTGAAGGGGATTGGATTAAGGGATTTGCTGCTAATTTAGGCAGAGGAACCATCATGGAAGCTGAGCTTTGGGGTGTTCTCATGGGCCTTTCTATAGCTTGGGACGAGGGTTGCAGGGACGTGATCCTTGAATGCGATTCTTGGGATGCTGTTATTTCAATCCAAAAACCTATATTGGCTTTGTACCCACTTTACAATCTCATTCTTGACTGCAAAGAAGCCATTGAAAGAAATTAGAGATGCGAAGTCATTCATATCTATCGAGAAAAGAATGCATCAGCTGATCATATGGCTGACTTGGGTCATGGGCTCCTTGGCCTTCATGTTTTTGTTTCTCCTCATTCCTCTGCTACTAATTTTCTAGCTTCTGATTCTATTGGCAGAGCCCTTCCTAGGGCTGTTCTTGCCTAGTTCTGTTTGTCTTTGTTTTGCTTGTCTGGCTTTGCCATCCTCTGTACCAAAAAAAAGAAATATATTTTTTTGAGTACTTTGCTATGTTTACACTAGGAGGAGGGAGAATTCAACTAAGTTACCTAATGGGCAGCTTAATTTGGTATCGAATTCATCATCCACGAGATTCGAACTTAAGATCTCTCACTTCTAAATGAAAAGAAATATCACAAGACCGTAATACTGAATGATAATACTCAAAACCTGAAACTATTAGTGAATTTTATATCATAAGCAAAATTCAAATTGTCTTCCCTGATAGGATTAGTTTTTAAAGTGGAAAAAGGACAATTCATAATTTCATATGGGACGAGATTCTCTTCGGATCCTTATATTTTAGCTGTTTATCGTTTATCATGCGATCAGTTTTAGTTAGATACTATTTATGTTTAATTTTATATAAAAAATTAAAAATAAATTTTTACCGATATATAATGAACGACTAAGATGTAAGGATTCTTAAGATCCCCATCATTTGAATCCAAATTCCATTCATATGGACATAAAAAGAAATAAGACATTTCCTAAAAGACATATAATATTTACAAAAATGTATCCACTTGTCATCTTGATTTTCCAATAACAAAAAATTGACAGATAATAATTTTTTATTTCTTATTTTTATCAAAAAAAAAAAATTGATGAGTGATTAAGGAAGAACCGAAGAAAGTATATAAGAACAGTTGTGATCAGGGAGCGCAGCTACAAAACCCTCACAGAGACAGAGAGCTATGGAGGAAGTAGCTATCGTTTTATATCCATCACCGCCGATTGGCCACTTGGTCTCCATGGTAGAGCTAGGCAAGCTCATACTCACCCACCACCCTTCTCTGCGCGTCCACATCCTCATCACCACCCCGCCCTACCGCGCCGACGACACCGCCTCATACATCACCTCCGTTTCCGCCACCATCCCTTCCCTCATCTTCCACCACCTCCCCACCATCTCTCTCCCTCCCTCCCTCGCCTCCTCCCCCAACCACGAAACCCTAACCTTCGAAGTCCTACGCCTCAACAACCCTAACGTCCACCAAGCCCTCCTCTCCATCTCCCAGAACTTCTCCATCAAAGCTTTTGTCATGGACTTCTTCTGCGCTCTCGGGCTCTCCGTTGCCACCGAGCTGAGCATCCCCAGCTACTTCTTCTACACGTCCGGCGCCGCCACCCTCGCCGGCTTCCTTTGCTTCCCCACCATTCACAACAATACCGACAAAAGCCTCAAAGACCTAAATACCCTTATCAACATTCCAGGAGTCCCGCCGATTCCTTCCTCCGATATGGCGAAACCGATTCTTGAACGAAACGACAAGGCGTACGAACATTTCCTAGAAAGCTCAAAGCAGTTCCCCAAATCCGCTGGGGTTATCGTAAACACGTTCGAATCTCTCGAACCTAGAGCTCTCAAAGCAATATCGGACGGTCTGTGCTTGCCCGAGAACTTTCCCACGCCGCCGGTCTACCCCATCGGACCGCTGATTGTTTCCCACGGCGGTGGAGGCCGCGGGGTCGAGTGTTTGAATGGCTGGACTCACAGCCAAGTGGAAGCGTGGTGTTCCTCTGTTTTGGGAGCTTGGGATTGTTTTCAAAGGAGCAGTTGAAGGAAATTGCAATTGGGTTGGAGAATAGTGGGCAGAGATTTTTGTGGGTGGTCCGTAATCCGCCGGCCCATAATCAAATTGGGGTGGCCATTACGGACCAGTCCGATCCAGAATTGAAATCTTTGCTTCCCGATGGGTTCTTGGATCGGACCAAAGACCACGGTCTCGTGGTCAAGACGTGGGCCCCGCAAATGGCGGTGTTGAATCACGACTCGGTGGGTGGGTTTGTGAGTCATTGCGGGTGGAACTCGGTGTTGGAATCGGTGTGTGCTGGGGTGCCGATGGTGGCTTGGCCACTCTACGCCGAGCAGAGATTCAACCGGGTCGTTTTGGTGGAGGAGATTAAAATTGCATTGCCAATGAACGAGTCGGAAGACGGGTTTGTGATTGCGGCAGAGGTGGAGAAGCGAGTTATCGAGTTGATGGACTCGTCCGAGGGCGAGTCGATTAGGATGCGTACAAAGGCTTTTCAGAACGAAGCCCATGCAGCGTTGGATGAGGGCGGGTCGTCTCGGGTTGCATTGAATAAACTACTTGAACTATGGAGCCAAACCGGTTAGAGTCCGACCGGGTTTATGACTTTTTTTTCTTTGACCGGGTTTATGACTTTGTTATTGTATTTTCCGGCCATGATTTTCTTCTTGTTCAATTTTATCAACGGAATCTTCAATTACAAATGATCAATACGATTCATGCCAATAATTACTACGATTAACAGTATTTCCGACAATGATTTTCTATTTTTTTTAGTTAATTTTATCTGCAACATGTTATTTTGATTGTGTTAGATGAATTCTCAAAAAATCATGTTTCACTGGTGAAAGAAGAGTTGTAAATGCGGTTGAAAACCAATAGCAAATGAACATGTATCTGAATAATTGTAATTAAATATTTTTTATTTATAATTGGATTTCAGCATCACTTGTTGCTCTACTTTTAACAGCAAAGTTTGGTTTTTCATAAAAACAAAGATATTCTTTGACAAAAAAAAAAAAAAAAAAAAAAACAAAGGCATTATTTTGATTCCTTTGTGTCCACAAAGGAAGATTCATGTCATTCTTCACCACGTATATATCTTAAACGCACGTAAGCCATTGCGTCAACAAATTCCTCGATGGCAGACATCTATCATTGGAAAATTTACGTTTGGGACATATATTGGTGTCGTTTTGCCAAACTAGTCAAAATAAGTATGATTTAAATACTATTTACAACGGTTTTCTGAATATTTAATTAGCTTTATATAACGTTGTCCCGCACCGAAAGACATGAAGGTTATCCTCTTTGCATCGACCTAACTAGTATACATGTTTTCTTTGCCCATTCTGCAGAAGATAAAATGAACATGAAAAATCTCAAGTAATGGTCTTATAATAACGTGCACTATTGAAACATAGTTGTATGATTGTGGTGTACGTACGTCCACTATCCTCGAAGCATATGCCAAATAACCTTATAATGTATCCTTATTATGCTTCGTTTTATACCTTAGAGATATTTGAGAGTTCGTTTGGAGGTGTTTTTAAGATGACTAAAAACTTTTTTGATGAGAGTACTTTTGAAACTAATCTTAATACAAATGTGAGTAAATCTTGAAAAAAAAAATAATTTTAAGTGTTTCTTGCAAGAAACACCAAAAAGCACTTGTGGAACTCAAATACACTTTCACCAACAGTTTTTTCAGTCATTTTAAAAGCACCTCCAAACGAGTCCTTAAATTGCTCAAATTTCTAAATGAATTTGAACAATAGTGTACAAAATCAGGAACAATCCTCTCACTAAATGACCTACTCCATATCTGCTACTCACGTATTACGTACATTTATTGAGTACTGATTATAAGAAAAAAACAAAAACAAAAAAACAAAAAGGAGCTGCAAATATTGACTTAGTTATAAGAGACAAGATGAAAGACCTAGATACATTTATCTCGTACGTACTAACCTGACTAGGTGACTAACTCTCTACGTGAGACTGTAAGAGCTTTCTATAAAAGCTCTACCAGTTTCCATAAGAGAGAGATGAGAAGATCATCAAGAAGCAATTAGAACAACTTGGAACACTCACAAAATCAACACAAATCTAACACACACACACACACTAGCCAGTGATTTCACTGTCGGTTGAGAATTTTGAGATCCAGAATAACTGAGAAACTTGTAATGCCAGTTCTGGAAGCAATGATTTTGACCTGATTTGCTGATCTCCATATATATATTTATATATGCAAAAATATTCACCATGCACATTGCATGTAACCAGAATAAATTAGATGTTTCACGATCAATCTCTTCATCTTCTATATATGAAAAGTTAGAACAAGCTCACCCAAAAAATACTCCAAAGTATCAATGGAGGCTATAGTTTTATACCCATCACCGGCAATAGGCCACTTGGTCACCATGGTGGAGCTTGGCAAACTCATACTTACAACTCGCTCTCCAAATTCTATATCCATCCACATCCTCATCACCACTCCCCCATATAGGGTGGATGATACTGCTTCGTATATCGCCTCCATCTCTTCCGATTCCATCATCTTCCACCACCTCCCCGCCATCTCACTCCCTCCCTGCGCCACCTCCTCAGTGCCCGCACACGAAACCTTAATCTGTGACGTCCTCCGCCTCAACAATCCTAATGTCCATAATTCTCTCCGTTCCATCATCGACAAAAACTACAAGATTCAAGCCTTTGTCATGGACATCTTCTGCTCTCCTGCGCTTTCTGTCGTCACCAAACTCAACATCCCCGGTTATTTCCTCTTCACCTCTGGCGCAGCCTGCCTCGCCTGCGCCCTCTACCTTCCCACCATTCACAAAATCATAGACAAAAGCATAAAAGACTTAAATACCCTTCTCACCATCCCGGGATCACCACCTATCCCATCTTCAGATATGCCGAAACCCCTTCGAGATCGTAACAATATAGTTTACGACTCCTTTGTCGAAAACTCAATCGAGTTGGCCAAATCAGCCGGCATTATAGTAAACACCTTCGAACGGCTCGAGCCGAGAGCCGTTAAAGAAATATCAGACGGACTGTGTGTGCCGGATGGCCCCACGCCGCCTGTCTACTGCATCGGACCGCTGATAGTAGCCGTTGCGTACAACAAAAGAGCTGCAGGAATGCACTCAGGAGGTGATAACGTGTCCAAGTGTCTGACGTGGCTGGACTCTCAGCCACGTGGCAGCGTGGTGTTTCTATGTTTTGGAAGCCTAGGGTTGTTCAGTAAAGAGCAGCTGAAGGAAATAGCGTTAGGGTTGGAGAGGAGTGGGCATAGGTTTTTGTGGGTGGTGCGAAATCCTCCTAATTCTCAAAACGGTCAAACCGTTGACCTTACGGTTCAAGCCGGACCGGATTTGGAATCTTTGCTTCCGGATGGATTTTTGGGTAGGACCAAAGACAGGGGGCTTGTGGTGAAGATGTGGGCACCACAAGTGGCGGTGTTGAACCATGACTCCGTAGGAGGGTTTGTTACTCACTGCGGGTGGAACTCGGTGTTGGAGGCGGTGTGCGCGGGAGTGCCGATGGTTGCTTGGCCGCTGTATGCGGAGCAAAGGTTTAATAGAGTTGTGCTGGTGGAGGAGATCAAGATTGCTTTGCCGATGGACGATTCGAAAGACGGGTTTGTGAGTGCGGCTGAGGTGGAGAAACGAGTTACTGAATTGATGAACTCGGACTCGATGGAAGGTAATTCCATCCGGGTTCGGGCCAAGGATATGCAAATTGAAGCACGTGCTGCGTTGAGTGAGAGCGGGACGTCTAGGGTTGCATTAACTAGACTCCTAAAGTCGTGGAACCAATCATAGGAGATTTTTTTTCTTTTTGAAAATCAGAAATATTAGGTCAAAAATGTTATTCTTACAACCTACTTGTAGAAAGATAGACCCACATACGTTGGTGGGTGCTACCTTTATTAGAAAGATAGTACAAATTATTGTATAAATAAATGGTAAGTGTAGTATTACGTGTAAAATGTAGCTAGCCCTATGTTAAGAGATTATTTACATTATTGTGTATTTCACGAAACAACAAAGCAAGTTGAGGACTAGAAGATCGTAGCTCAATTCTGATAGATTACATCAATTTTTGCAAGCCGAAATTAATGTCATCTTCCCAGGGCCGAACCAGAGATTTTTGAGGCTGGGGACAACGTAAAAAAAAATGCCCTAACTTCATGTAAGAAAAGTATTTATTTTCACACATAAGACATGGAAAAAATTATACTTAGAAAAACACTTCAAACTTAATAATTTAAAAACACAGAAAGACTAATTTATTTTGTATTGAGAGAGGGAAACAAAAAGACTTACGGACTTACAAGTAGATAGATGATGAGTTTTGTTTTCCATCTGAACTTCGTATGTGTTTTTGAATAAATCGTGAGATGTTTTTTTTCTTATTTACTAACCTTGTCAATATGGGACTAAAAAATAATGATGTTTTCGAGTCTTTAATTGATATGTATTATTAATGAATGGGCACTAAATTAAACATTTTGATGACACGTCATATAATTTACAAATTTGGTCTACATATTATTCTTTGTTGAAGATTAGACTTGAATTAAAACGAATATTTAAAAATAACAATCCACATAGCTACTAGATAGTAACTAAAAATAAATTAACAACCAAACAAAAATTTGTAAAAATTGAAAAGAATAAACATGCACATAGCATTTCGAACTTAGGACCTCTTATTAATTTTAAACAATAAAAATCATTGTTTCTAATTAAACTTCTTGATCCTTTAACCAAATTTTATAAATTTATAATCTTATAAAAAGAAATTTGTAAAAAATAGAAAGTAAATAAGCACACATGGTGTTTTGAACCCAAGACCTCCTCATTATTTTCAAATGACAAACCACCACTTCTAATTAAATTTCTGTGTCTTTGAACCAAATTTTATAAATTTATACTCTCATAAAAACATATATAAATATATCACCCTAATAATTTTGGTGCCCGTAATTTGTTTGGACCCTGGACGGTCTCCCTGCCTGCACTGGGCCTGGGCCGGCCCTGCATCTTCCATTCAGTACTTGGACGGAAAGTGTCGAACGGAAAATGCAGTTGGATCCTTGCAAAACTAATGTCATCTTCCATTCAGTGCTTGGAGGGAAAAGTGTGGAAAGGAAAGTGCAGTTGGATGCTGGACGTATTTTCCAAAAGAATGATATAGTTAGTTGATAATTTATATCAAACACTCCTATACATACCAAAGCACTCCCTATCGATTTCACTACTTTCTCTCTTGCCATCCAAAAAATCTCTCATTCCTCAGTGTAAAAATATGGCAGAGGCAATAGTTTTGTATCCGTTTCCAGGATTGGGTCACCTTATCGCCTTGGTATTCGGGAAGCCATTACTTACTCCACCCCCCCCCTCCCCCCTCTCCTTCCTTTCATTCTCCATCACAATCTTCGTTTCCACCGGGCCAACCACCACGGTCGACACCACTAAACTTGTCACAGACTCCAACACTCAACCAACAACATACGTACTTGGCAAAAAAAAAAAAAAAAAAAAAACTGACAACATACGTAGAATCAGTTCCACCACCCATCCTTCCTTCAACTTCCAACACCTCCCAAACCTGTCCTCGATCCGCCCATTATCGCTTTCAAGATCACGCGACTTCACATCCGCAAAGCCCTCCAAACCCTTTCCCAAACAACCAACTCCAAAGCCTTTACCATTGACATGTCCTGCGACACTGCGTTTGACGTCGCAAGAGACCTCAACATCCCAACCTTTTACTTCTACACCTCCGCCGCCAATACCCTTGCCGTGTTCTTCACTGAAACAAGTCAACTGATTTTCCTAAGCCCATTCCCATCTCCGGCATACCGCAATTCCCAGTTTCAGCATTTGCCCACAACACTATTCTACCGCAGTTTAAAATTTTGAATACAACGGCTAGCTGCAATCAGCTAGCCGTTGCCTTACATTTTTTTTTTTAATTTTTTTTATGAATTTAAACCTTTTTTTTTCCTATAAATATCTAAATCATTTATTCACCATTTCTCACATAATTTTCACCTGGCATACTATCTCACTTCATTATATTTCAAATTTAAGTTGTAGTTTTTAAATTTAAGTTGTTGTTTTAAATTTAAATAAATTATGTTTGGCCCTCGGTTGGAGACGGTTTTTTGTGACAGGGCTAAAATGAGCCCTATGGCCCTTTGACCCTCGGTTGGAGATGGAGGCAAATATGATTATGTACTGTTTATTAAAATATTAATATTTTGGATGACCAGATGGTTAAAACGAGCTAGCCCTCGGTTAGAGATGGCCTAAGCCCACTCTCTTAAATATTCAACCACTTTTTGCCCTCATGATTTTGGGTTTGAAGATTTGCAGGCAAACATGGAGTTTGTGAGAGGAAGTGAGGGAGAGAGATAGGAGAGTTTGGGTATACGAAATCTCATCTTGAGATTAACGGAAGAAAAATGGTGATGGTGGAATTTATTTATTTTTTTTTTTTCTGAACAAGAAATATTTTCTACACTAAAGGGTGGAGGAGTGAGATAAGCTTCACAATAGGCGAGCCACAATAATGTGGTTCAAATTCGTCTTAAATTTAAATTCCAAAAATATTTTAGTCAGTAGCTTAGTTCTATATTGCACCAAATACTTCATTATTCTTGTACAACTTAGTCCATACTAAGTTAATCCGACTTAATCAAGTTAGTTAAATTCGAAATAGTCCGTACAAAATTTCAACATGAACTGCTCAGTAACCACCTTATTGGAAGAAAATGTATACACATATGAAGTAAATGTATTCCGATTAAGGTCGGTGGCAACCTTTTCTTCATTCCCTCTGCAACCTTTTTCTTTCCTTTTTGTTTATTTCCCTTGCTTTTCTTCCTACGTATTCCATAGCCTTTTCACCACTGACTATCACTAATCTCTCCATGCACTCAGATCCACTCATCGAACTCTCAGATCCTTTCATTCATCCATACACCCATCTACATGTCTTTCTTCCGGATTCCACCGATTCCATCTCTATTCAGACCTTCAACCAATTTTGACCGCGAACTGTTGTGGTCACCAACTGAGAAGGTAATGTAGAGTTCCAGTGTTCACACCGGCTCGGGTGGCCACACCACCTCATTCTCTCTATCTGCCTTTTCTGGCAGTGTTGCTTGTGGTAATCCCACAGGCTTCTTTGCTTTGGTGGTCTTGTTTGACGAGATGTTATCGTTTGGAAGTCGGAATCCATCTTCTTTCCACCTCTGAGGTGATGGTTCCTGGTAATAGTTGGTAGTGGCGGTTCGAGATCGTCGAGGTGTGCTGCTGCGGCGGTGATTTCGGCGGAAGAGCTGGAAGAAAGCATTTCGGTTAAGGTTTTCTGTTTTTTTTGTTGTGGGCCAATCCTTGTTTTGGGCTTTGGGTTACTTTTGAGGTCCATATTTTTGTTTATTTAGAATCTTTTTATGACAACATTATCACTCATTCCATTACTAAGAAGAAACTGTTAGATGATCTCTTAGTGGAGGAAGGGAAACCCTAGAAATCGAAGGTTATGGAGCCTAATGTCAATATATAGACTAATGCTAAATAAATCAATCATCAACGATCACATTATATAATTTATAAAAGTATCATTTAAATTGATCGTCTTCATAACATTACTCTAATATATTTTGGACTTCATGAATTGAACCACGTGTATTCTAGTAAAGTTGCTTTTGTTGTAGGCCTGGAAAGGGTCTACTTGTGGTGAACACCCGAGTAGCTTTTCGTGATCATGACTCCTGTTTTTGATTTGTTGTCACGGATGGTAAAATAAGTCAGTGGGCACCGATTATATCAAATATCAATTGTTGGATTTGTATGAATGTTTGATTACTCACTTGTCACTTTCCCTTCCTTTTGGACACTACTTAGATATACAAGGAGTCATTCTTTTTTACATGTAGATGTGTTGTCATTTTAGTGTACACCCATCATAATATGGAACCATGCACTCTCATTCACATTATCTAAATTTTTTTCTTGAAGAATTCATTCAATTTGGAGATTATTTGTCATCCATATGCATGTGTTGACAAATTGACAATTCATCATGAATACATCAGTTTGTTACTTTAATTGTTGACTTTTTTGACACGTGATGACTAAACATTCTCCAAACTAAATGAATTTTAAAACAGATGATCTTTTATATGATTATGATGATGATGATAAAGAGAATGAATGTTTTGAATAGGATATTTGTACAACGAAATGATGCCGCGTCGTTATTAAAGAATGAATGGTTTTACACATAAGGAGCCAAGTGGTAGACGAGTTCGGTATCGAGAGCTTGTAACTAAGTGTGATATTAAAGTGATTGGTTGTATGAAGTCGTTAGTTTGGTACTATAGTCACAAGTCACACCCTATCCACAATGGGTAGATAGTTAATAAACATTAACATAAAAAAACGTGATAAACTTTTTAGGCCCAACATTCTTGCTTCACCTTATCGATTGATATTGTCTGAACTGAACTACCAATGAAAATCTTTAGTTGAATCCAAAACAACATGTCGTATCAAACTGCTATAGTATTTCTTAGTCCATGGATCCGTAAAGTACCCAGTCGTTTCAAACTGTCGTAGTATTATTGCTTAGTCCATAGATAAGTATGTTGAGAGTTGTCCCACATTGGTGAGGGACAAAGTTTGCTATGTGCTTGTATGATATTGGGCTACTCCTCATATTACCAATTGGTTTTATGGTGGAACCTCAATTTCATCATGGTATCAAAGCAAGGTTGTCCACGTGTGAAGCCCAATGGCCACACGCG